TGACAGTGGGTAACTGAAAGCTCAAAAAGCATAAATCTTGGATAAGAAGGATATACTGTATACCATAAACGCCCTTTGACTATTTTCTGTTCATTTAATATGTTCAGTACTGTATCCATGTTGATAAGTAACTAATTTATTTAATGTTAACATGTTACTCTGTTTATGAATATACCACTCTTCTCTTTTTGATGTGGGTGCTTGTTGATGCCAGCTTTTGCTTAAAATTTGCACTAAACATTTCTGTTCATGTTTCTTTGTCCATACATAAAAGAGAATCTCTAGGATTATCCCTGTAAATTTAACTGCTGGTTCTAAGGATATAAACATCTTTATCATTACAAGATATGGCAGCATTGCTCTTCATAGAGGTTGTACCAATTTATTTTCTCAGCAGTGTATGAACTATGCCATTGCTTTACATCCCTGTCAAAGCTTGGCATTCATTATCTGGATTTTTCTAAATTTTGTCAACTGATATTTATAATAAGAAATGTTATTGTAACTTTAATTTCACTCTGAGGTTCCTAGTGAAACTGAGTATCTTCTCCTTTGTTATTGGCTATTCATGTTTTCTCATGTGAATCATTTTTAAAAACAAAACTTATTTAGTTTTTGTTATTTGCTGATACTTTTGCTTATTGATTTATAAAATCTTTTTTATTGTTATTACAAAATTTTGTCAGCTATATGCATTTAAAATATCTTCCAGAATGTAGTTTTTCCTTTCAGTTTATATTTTGTTGTGAGAAAATACTGACTAGATTTAGCAATTTGTATAGTTTATGCTTTTGCATTTTTGCTTTTTTCAAAAGTTGGCTTTTCATATTTAATTAATATACCTAAAATTCGTTATTTATATGCTATGAGATACAGATCAAAATCGATTTTATATACATAGCTAGTTTTCCCTATATCAATGAAGAATTTTATTTTTCATTAATTTATAATGCTACCTCTGCTAACTGGCATTAGCTTTTCTTTTCTTTTCTTTTTTTTAGAGAGAGGGTTTCACCATGTTGCATGTTGGCCAGGATGGTCTTGATCTCTTGACCTCATGATTTGCCCGCCTTGGCCTCCCAAAGTGCTGGGATTATAGGCGTGCGCCACCACACCCGGTATGGCATTAGCTTTTCAAGGATCCATAGGTCTATGCTTGACATCTGAATATATTGATCTTTTTGACAATGAAAAATTGCTCAATTTTTATATCAGAACTCTAAAAGATGTTTTATAGTATATTTCCTTTTGAATATTTATTGGGCTTGGTTCATTCAGGTGGCTGCCTTCTACCCGTATATCTTAGAATAAGCAATGAAGATGAGGATGGTTCCTATTTAAATGAGTCAGTTTTTAGTACTCTTATGTTTACTTGGTATGTCTTATTTGTTTTTGTTATTTTTGCTTTAATGCAAGCAAGTTAAATTATATGAAAAAATGAAAATTAAAATAAAACCTTATACATGTTTAATTTAATCAAAATGATATCTATTCTAACATTTTAATTTTCATATACTACATAATAGGATACTTGGAGCATATTTCTTTTTTTTTTTTGTATACCCCCATCTTGATTTTCTTAAGCTGTTTAATTTTTCTGGGTACAAAGTAGATGTATATATATTTACAGGGTACATGAGATGTTTTGACACAGGCATGTAATGGAGAAATAAGCACATCACGGGAAATGGCATATTCATCCCATAAAGCGTTTGTCCTCTGAGTACAAACAATCCAATTACATTTAAGTTATTTTTAAAATGTACAATTGTTATTATTGACTATAGTCATCCTATTGTACTGCTAAATAGTAGGTCTTATTCATTCTTTGTATTTTTTTTTAACCATTTGACCTTCCCCACCTCCCAGTACCCCCACTACCCTTCCCAGACTATTTTTTGATCAGCTTATTTGACTTTTATCTATGTAGTTATTTGAGCTCCTTATATATTCTGGTTATTAATCCACTACCAAAAGGGTAGTTTGCAAATATTTACTCCCATCCTATGGGTTATCTCTTCACTTTGTTGATTGTATCATTTGTTATGCAGAAGCTCTTAACTTTGTATGATCCCATTTGTCCATTTTTGCTTTGGTTGCCAGTGCTTGTGAAGTCTTACTCAAGAAATCTATGCACAGACTAATGTGGAAATGGTTTGGCTATGTCTCCTCCCAAATCTCATCTTTAATTTTAGTTCCTATAATCCTCACATGTTATGGGAGGGACCTGGTGGGAGGTAATTTAATCATGGGGGCAGTTACTGTCATGCTGTTCTCAAGATAGTGAGTTCTTAAGAGATCTGATGGCTATATAAGCAGTTTTTCCTACTTTTTTTCAGTACATCTCCTTCCTGCCATCATGTGAAGAAAGTTGTGTTTACCTACTCTTCCACCGTGATTGCAAGTTTTCTGAGGCCTCCCCAGCCATGCTGAATTGTGAGTCAATTAAACCTCTTTTCTTTATAAATTTTCCAGTCTCAGGCAGTTCTTTATGGCAGTGTGAGAATGGACTAATATGTTAAATTGGTACCACAGAGAGTGGTGTGCTGCTGTAAAGATATCAAATGTAGAAGCAACTTTGGAACTGAGTAGCAGGCAGAGGTTGAAACAGTTTGGAGGGCTCAAGAGAAGACAGGAAAATGTGGGAAAGTTTGGAACTTCCTAGAGATTTGTTAATGGCTTTGACTGAAATGCTGATAGTGATATGAACAATGAAGTTCAGGCTGAGGCAGTCTCAGATGGAGATGAGAAACTTGTTGGGAACTGGAGTAATGGTAACTCTTGCTATGCAAAGAGACTGGTGGGATTTTCCCCCTGCCCTAGATATTTTTAGAACTTGTAACTTGAGAGAAATGATTTAGGATATCTGATGGAAGAAATTTCTAAGTGGCAAAGCATTCAAGAGAAAGCAGAGCATAAAAATGGAAAATGTGAAGCCTGATGATGTAATAGAAAAAAAATTCTGGGGAGAAATTCAAGTTGGCTGCAGAAATTTGCATAAGTAACAAGGAGCTGAATGTTAACCACCAAGACAATGGGTAAAATGTCTGCAGAGCATATAACAGACCATTTTGGCAGCCCCTCCCATCACAGGCCCAGAGGACTAACATTGAAAAATTATTTCTTGGGCTGGGCCCAGGGTCCCCTTGCTCTATGCAACCTAAACACATGGTGTCCTGCATCCCAGCTACTTCAGCTCCAGTTGTAGGTAAAAGGGGCCAATATACAGCTCAGGGCCATTGCTTCAGTGGATCCAAACACCAAACCTTGGCACTGTACATGTGGCACTGGGCTTGCAAATATGCAGAAGTCAAGAATTGAGGTTTGGGAACCTCCACTTAGATTTCAGAGGATGTATGGAAATGCCTAAATGTCCAGGCAGAAGTTTGCTACAGGGGCAGAACCCTCATGGAGAACCTCTGCTAGGGCAGTGTGGAAGGGAAATGTGGGGTCAGAGTCCCCACACAGAGTTCCCACTGGGGCACTGTCTACTAGACTTACAAGAAGAGGGCCACTGTCCTCCAGACCCCAGAATGGTAGATCCACTTACAGCCTGCACCATGCACCTCGAAAAGCTGCAGATAGTCAATGCCAGCCCATGAAAGCAACTGGGAGGGAGGCTGTACCCTGCAAAGCAACAGAGGTGGAGCTGCCCAAGGCCATGAAAGCCCACTTCTTGCATCAGCGTGACCTGGATGTGAGATATAGAGTCAAAAGAGATAATTTTGAAACATTCAGGTTTAATGACTGCCCCTATTTGATTTCAGACTTGCATGGAATCTGTAGCCTTTCTGTTTTTACCAGTCTCTCTCATTGAAACAGATGTATTTACCCAATGCTAGTAACCTCATTGTATCTAGGAAGTTATTAACTTGCTCTTGATTTTACAAGCTCATAGGCTGAAGAGACTTGCTTTGTCTCAGATGAGACTTTGGACTTGGACTTTTGCATTAATGCTGAATGAGTTAAGACTTTGGGGGACTGTTGGAAAGGCATGGTTGTGTTTTGAAATGTGAAGACATGAGGTTTGGGAGGGTCCAGGGGCTGAATGATATAGTTTGGCTGTGTCCCGTGCTCATATCTCATCTTGGAATTATAGTTCCCATAAAACCCACATGTCATGGGAGGGATCTGGTGGGAGGTAATGTAATTATGGAGGTCGTTACCTTCATGCTGTTCTCGTGATAGTGACTGAGTTCTCACAAGATCTGATGGCATTATAAGTGGCTTTCCCTTACCTTTGCTTGGCACTTCTTCCTGTCATAATGTGAAAAAGTACATGTTTGCTTTCCCTCCTGCCATTATTGTAAGTTTCCTGAGGCATTCCCACCCATGCAGAACTGTGAGTCAATTAAACCTGTTTCTTTTATAAATTACCCAATCTCAGGCAGTTCTTTATAGCAGCATGAGAACAGACTGATACAAATGTCCTGGAGTTTTTCCCCAATGTTTCCTTGCAGCAATTCATAGCTTCAGGTGTTAAATTCAAGTCTTTACTCCATTTTGACTTTACTTTTGCAAATGGTGAGTGATACGGGTCTGGTTTTATTTTTCTGCATATGAATATTAAGTATTCCCAGTACCATTTATTGAAGAGACTATCTTTTCGCCAGTGTATATTCTTGGCATCTTTGTCAAAAATTAGTTTACTGTATGTGTGAGTATTTATTTTTGGGTTCTTTATTCTGTTCCACAATCTATATATCTGTTTTTATACCACTACCATGCTATTTTTGTTACTATAGCTCTGTAGTATAATTTGAAGTCAGGTGATGTAATTCCTCCAATTTCTTTTTCTTTTTGCTCAAGATAGCTTTGGCTATTCTGGATCTTTTGTGTTTTCTGTAAATTTCAGTAATTTTTTTCTATTTCTATTTCTATTAAGAATGTCCTTGGTATTTTGATGGGGATTGCATTGAATCTGTGGATTGATTGGGGTACATTTAACATTTTAACAATATTTATTTTTCTAATTTATCAACATAAAATATTTTCTCATTTTGGTGTTTCTCTTCAGTTTTTTCATCAGGGTTTCAGAGTTTCATTGCCGAGATCATTTAGGATAAGACTATACATCATGGTTACAGTGTTATAATATTCTGTATTTTTCTGTGTACTTACTATTACCAATGAGTTTTGTAACTTCAGGTGATTATTTATTGCTCATTAGTATTCTTTTCTTTCTGGTTCAAGTATTCCCTTTAGCATTTCCTGTAGGACAGGTCTGGCATTGATGAAATCCCTTAGCTTTTTTTTGTCTGGACTGTAAGGTTTCCACTGAAAAGTCTGCTGTCAGACATATTAAGCACCATTTTATGATATTGTTTTCTTTGGTCTTGCTCCTTTTAGAACTCTTTCTTTATTCTTTACCTTTGGGAGTTTGATTATTAAATGCCTTAAGATAGTCTTCCTTGGTTTTATTCTGCTTGGTGTTCTATAACCTTGTACTTGAATACTGATATATTTCTCTAGGTTTGGGGAGCTCTCTGTTATTATCACTTCAAAAAAACTTTCTTGACTATGACTGTACTGGGTCAGACTTGATACCAGCACAGTTCTGGGTCTTACCAAGGTCTGCTAAGCTACTGTCTGACTGGGGCTCTACAATCCACAGGTGGAAAAGTCACTCAGGCCTCTGTTCTTCTCTTTAGGGCTGTGAGGTCCCCGGGGCTGTGGTTGGATCCAGAAGTGCCATCCATCTTCTTCTGCCTCTCCTGAGGCATATTTCCGTATCTTTGAATATTCAAGCTTTTAGTAGAAAAATGTTGGGAAAAAATTTGAAGGAATTGATGAATTATCTTTAATTTCTGTAGGCCTAACAAATATTTGATTCATGGAATATGTTTCATTTTAAAGTTGTATCTAATATAAACAAAGTCTAAAACATTAATATTTTACTAACAGTATTGGTATGGGGGTGAGATTTGTATTGTAGAAGAGTTATTCATTTTCCTCAGGAGTAAAAAAATATTAAATGAATTATCCACAAGAATGTAGAATGCGTTTAGGTCATGAAGGCTTCACCCTTACGAGTGGGTTAATGCCATTCTTAAAGGACTTGGTGGAGAGAGTTTGGTCCCTTTTTTTGTCCTTTCACCTTCTACCATGTGAAGATAAAGCACTCCAGAGAAGGTAGCAACAAAGCTTCATCTTTGAAGCAGAGACTGGGTGGTTACTAGGCATCAACTCTGCTGGTGCCTTGATCTTAAACTCCCAGCCTTCAGAAATGGAAGAAACAAATTTCTGTTTATTATAAATTGCCTTGTCTCAGTTATTTGATTATAGCAGCACAAATGGCCTGAGACCGGGTCAGAACCCAAGAATGGTATGTCCCATACTTCATGTCAGTTCAAGGTTAAGAATGTAGTGGGAATATGGCCAATCTGGAGTAAGGTCTCAGTTACTGCTAAATCTGTACAAGCCCTGCTCCTACAGAGCCTGCAATTGAGGCATCAACCACACCCTGCTGGTGTTATTATGGAAAATCTTTGAGAACCAAGGCAAAGAGTATTTATAGAGGTATAGCAAATGTGAACTAATTGATTCTTTTAGGGAGGAGTTTGTTCCATGGATTAAGGAAGAAACAGTAAAGAAGGAATTTGTGGTATGCAAAATTCTTTGACCTGCAGACTCAAAAGAATTTGTAAGCTTCTTGTTTCTCCTCCTGCTGACTCAAGTCGAAACCAATGTAGTTAGTAAATCACATCATACATGTTCATTCCAGCCTGTTCCACCAAGTGGGAATATGGAGACCTGGGAAAAGATGAAAGTCTATTTCCTGGTAACTGTGATTAGAGTAGCCATAGCAGCCTTTAATTAGATTGCTTTTCTTGTCCTTTCTGTTTGCCAGGAGCTTCAGTCACCTGTAGATTAGGTGGAAGGAGAACAGAGGGTCTCAGTTAGTGCATGTCATTAAAAAGAAAACAAAAACTTGATTCTGATTTGGAAAAATTGTGTTCATTGGGTCAGTTTCCAATCTGAGGCTCAATAGTAACTATATACCCTGAATATCTCATGTCTCAAGCAGTTCTGGCTGATTTCCTGCTTGTTTTTAAATTCACTATTATGTATACAATATCATACTTGGCCTTCCTGAGAGAATAATATGAAGTTCCCAAAGAGAAACTCCTCGTGTGGGAAGGAGCCAAATGAGAATTAAGTATCCCCCATACTAGTGTAAGAATAAAGGAGAATTCTCTCATCTTTGTGCTTGTTTATCTTTGAGAGCCTTGTTTTAGAACTCACGTTAATTAGTGAACTGAACCAGTTAACTCAGGCAACTCATCCAAATAGTCTTTTCATACCTATGCACTACTTCTTGGAAGCAAACATCTTGTTAATAAAAATTAAGAACTTAAAACAATTTATTATAAGCAGAAGTATTTCATCATGATTAAAGTGGGGATTATGGAAACACTCAATTAGAGTTACATTCCAGGTCTGTCACTTATTAGCTCTATAACTCAGGTTTATCTTACCAGGTCTATGTTTTGGGCAAGTAGTTTAACCTCCCTATACCCTAGTTTTTCCATCTGTAAAATGGAAAAACTGCATACCTATATAATTGTGAAAATTAAATGTTTGTTATATGTAAGGTGCTTAGAATCATACCTGGCATATAGAGAGCAAGCAATGGTATTTGTCATTATTATATTACTTTTTCCTTTTAAAGCGAAATATTTAGAAATACTTAGAAATGCAAAGTGAGTCTATGGTTAACTTGATATTTGAGATTTATGTCAGACCTGTGTGATTCAGTTTCTTAGAGGCTATTCAATTGCATTGCCTTAAAAAAAATACCTAAAATGTAATTTCTATTTCAATTTTGAGTTAACAGAAATAAAACAAACATATTCATTACAACTAACCCTTAAGCTAAGGATCTCCCACAGCAGTGATTGTCAAACTTAATTGTATATCAGAATCACCTGGAGCATTGTTCAACTACAAATTTCTAGGTCCATACTCAGTTCATCATTCAATATGCTTAGAGTAAAGCCTGAAATATTGCATTTGTAAGTATTTCAAATATAATGTTAATGCTGCTGGTCTGGGGACCACTCTTGAAAACCATTGTCTTAGTAAAAGAAATCTACTGTTTGTTAGGGAAATAATTTTGGAAATTTAAACAGTAAATTTATTCTGTGTATGCATGTACATATATAAAGTAATTATTTAAAAGATGTGTAAAATTAATAATATATAATCTGTATAGTTACAATGGTAAGACTTACAAAATAAAATTATGTAAATACAAATACGTAGGAGGTTTAATATCCATGTGATGCTTTTAATTAAGTGCTAAATGATTTTAAGGCAACTAACAGAAAAATTATTCAACAAGCAGTTAGAAATTCTCTCGAAACAGATGAAAAATAGCAAAACTCCATACAGAAATAGAAATTAGTTAAAGGAAACAAATTGAAGTAATAGATCTGAAAAATAATGTAAGATAAACTTTTAAAGCTTGCTAGACTGGCTCAGATGGCATGACAGAGGATAAAATTGTTAAAAGTCCAATCTGAATACCGATTTACAGATTGCAATCAGTTATTGCAATCGGAATAACATAGGAAAAATAAACTGAAAAAACAAATAGAGTCTCAAGGACCTATAGAATAATAAACCATCTAACATTTGTGTCTTTAGAGAGGAGAAAGAGAAGTAGGTTGAAAAAGCATTCAAAAAAATGATGTTTAAAACTTTCCAAATCTAGCAAAATATATAAGCCCACAGAGTCAAAACACTGACATGAGTCTACATGGGAAATCCCAAGAAATCTGCATACCAAATAAACAAAACTTCTAAAATTAGTAAATGGGGTTAGCCAAGCCACATGACACATATCAAGGCATGAAAATCCATAGCATTTTTGTATACTAACAATGAGCATGTAGAAAACAAATTTTAAAGTGCCATAATATTTATAATCACTCCAAAGAAAATTAAATACTTATGTATTCACTAAAAGACTTAATTTTAGGTAGAATAGTTTGTCTTATTTTATTCACTTAAACATGTACAGAATCTGTATACTGAAAATCACAAAATTCTGATTAAAGAAATGAAGGAAGATAGAAATAAATGAAGAAATACATTGTTTACATGTATTGGAAGATTCAACATAGTAAAGGTGTCAATTCTTCCCAAACTGATTTTTAAGTTTAATATAATTTCTGTAAAAATCCTCAAAATTGTTTTTTTGTAGACCTAGAACTTATAAAATTTACATGTAAAGGCACAGACCCTAGAATAGCTTAAACATTAAAAAAAAATTAAGAGAGATCTCAGTATACCCAATAGTAACATCTAAAAGTTACAACAATGAGTACTGTATGATACTGATAGAGGCATAGACATAGAGGTCAATGGGAAGGAGTCCAAAAATAGACCCACACAAACTTGTTCAACTGATTTTTGACAAAAAACACAAAAGCAATTCAATGAAGGAAAAATTGACTTTCAACAAATGGTGTAGAAGTAATTGGACATCCAAGGCAAAATTATACATGGCCTAAACCTCACATTTTATGCAAAAAGTTATATGCAAATACATTAGATATTTAAATGTAAAACATAAAATTATAACAATTTTAGAAAAAAATAGAAAATCTTCATGATCTAGGATTAAGCAAAGACTTTGTAGACTTGAGAACAAAAGTCACAATATGTAAAAGGAAAAAATAATAAATTTGACCTCAACAAAATTTAAAACTTTTATTTTAGTTTGCAAAAGGTCCTCTGCTGTGATTGAAAAGATAAGCTACAGATTGAGAGAAAATAATTGCCAATTGTGTGTCCAAAAAAAGGACAAGTACCTAGAATACAGAAATAATGGTCAAAATTCAATAGTGAAATAAAGAACAACTGTGCATCTAGAATTCTTTATCAAGTGAAAATATACCTGAACATTGAAGGTAATATGAAGTTAATCTGAAGTAAATTAAAATGAAGAATTTGTCACCACCACACCTGGACTACAAGAAATGCTAAAGAAAATTTTTCAGGCTGAAGCAAAATTAGACCAACTGCAAACTTGTATGCCCATGAAGAAATAAATACTTCTAAAAAATTTTAATTCCTTTTAATTTTTAAAGCAAAAATTATTACACAATTATAAACAACAGGGTTTATAACAAAGTTATGCTATACATAAAAACTGTAACACAATGATTGTGCATACAGTAAATGAACCCATATGTTTCAGTATTTCTACTTTTATAATAAGTGGTATAATACTAACTCAAATATGCTCTAAAAAGTTAAGAATTTATACTATAATCCAGATAAAAAGCACTAAAAATTATGTAAGCAGTGCTACAGAACAAATGGACTTAATGAATTTTTACAGAACATTTCTTCCAAAGGCTGAAGAATACACATGGATTATTCTCAAGAATAGACCACATGTTATGTCACAAAACAAGTCTTAAAACATTTAAAAAATTAAAATAATATGAAGCATCTTCTCTGACCACAATGTAATAAAATTAGAAATAAAAAATGAAGATTATTGGAAACTATACAAGTACAAGGAGATTAAATAGGCTCCTGAATGATCAGTGGGTCAAAGAATAAATTAAAAAGAAAATTTCTTCAAACAAATGCTAATGGAAACATAGTATATCAAAATCTATGGGACACAACAAAAGTAGTACTAAGAGGGAAATTTATTGATATAAATGCCTACATAAAAAAGAAGAAAAACTTCAAATAAATAACCTACAGATGCATGTTAAAGAACTAAAAAAGCAAGAACAAACTGATCATAAAGTTAATAGGAGAAAAGAAATAATAAAGATTAGAGCAGAAATAAATGAATTTGAATTGAATAAAACAATACAAAAGATCAGTAAAACAAAAAATTGTTTTTTTAAAAAAATATCAACAAAATTGACATACCTTTTATAAGACCAATGAAGAAAATAAGGGAGAAGACAAAAATAAATAAAATCAGAGATGAAAAGGGAGACATTACATTTCATATTGCAGAAGGTCAAAGTGGCCATTATGAGCAACTATATGCCAATAAATTAGAAAATATACAAGATATGGATACATTACTAGACACATACAACATACCAAGATTGAACCATGAAGAAATCCAAAACCTAAGCAAACCAATAATAATTAATGAGGTTAGGCCGGGCGCGGTGGCTCAAGCCTGTAATCCCAGCACTTTGGGAGGCCGAGGCGGGTGGATCACGAGGTCGAGAGATCGAGACCATCCTGGTCAACATGGTGAAACCCCGTCTCTACTAAAAATACAAAAAATTAGCTGAGCATGGTGGCGTGTGCCTGTAATTCCAGCTACTCAGGAGGCTGAGGCAGGAGAATTGCTTGAACCCAGGAGGCGGAGGTTGCGGTGAGCCGAGATCGCGCCATTGCACTCCAGCCTGGGTAACAAGAGCGAAACTCCGTCTCAAAAAAAAAAAAAAAAAAAAAAAATAATTAATGAGGTTAAAGCCATAATAAAAAGTCTCTCAGTAAAGAAAAGCCTGAGACCCAACTGATTCACTGCTGACTTCTACCAAACATTTAAAGAACTAATACTAATCCTACCCAAACTATTTTTTTAAAAAATAGAGGATGAGGAGATACTTCAAAACTCATTTACAAGGCCATTGTTACCCTAATATTAAAACCAGGCAAAACCATATCAAAAAAAACTATAGATTAATATATCTGATGAATATTAATGCAAAAGTTCTCAACCAAATACTAGCAAACCAAATTGAACAAAACATTAGACAGATTGTGCATCATGACCAAGTAGGATTTATCCCAGTGATGCAAGGATGGTTCAACAAAAACAAATTTATCAACATGATACATCATCAGCAGAATGAAGGACAAAAACCAT